TGAAATATAGATAGCGCTAGGCTAGTTGTGTGAAAGGCATGTCTTCTTGCTTGGTTTATTCTCCACATATTTATAATAGTAAACACCCCTTAATAGCATGCTGGAGATCTGGGGCAGCATTTTGAAAACCAATGGTTGTGTGAAATCTATAACAAACTGATTAACCTGTTGGTGTTGTTGATTATACTTTCAGAAATATGGAACCACTGAATGGCTTTGTTGATAAAATCACTAAATGTAATCCAGGAGAGTTCTACATCAACAACTTTTCAACAAACAAGATTTCCTTCAACATGGATGACACATGGCACCATTCTATTTGTTGCAAAAATGGGTGTAAACACTTATTAAGCCACTGCTCCCATAGTTTATCTCGAATAATCCCTATGAGTTTGGATTCATAGGTTTATGTTTATTTGCATCAAAGGGCAAAATATGAATTAGTATTTGTTCAAATATATAAATTTGAAATATATAAGTATTCATTGGAAAGAAAAATACTTCCTTATATATTGAAAGGGATGGTGTGAACAAATATCACTGTCTTTTTTTCCATTTGCCATGTAAAGCACATGTATAATATTGCTATATATGTTTGGCAATGCACCAAGATAAAAAAATGTATAGTACGGATATGTGCTACAGTATCATTTTATCGAGGCAATCACTAGTTGATGATACTTGCCAACACATGAAAATGTAGTAGAAATATGTAGTAGACCAAAGGGACAACAATCATTAGCTTTGCCCATAGTTGGAGTTTGAATTATGTAGAGCAAAGGAAGAGCATTCCAAGTAATCTATTGAGCTGTGAAGGGGACATATCACAAATAAAGAGCATTCCTACTAATGAGGATGTGAGGTAAGTAAGCAAAATCCCATCTCCTTAGAAAATGTGTCTACCTATGCCTAACAACAACAGTTCCTTGATCAGATGCTATAGTTTCTAGCAGACCAAATCTATGAATTTTATGACATCAATCTGACCAACTTTCTTTATTGGCTTTGTATCCACTCATTTGGTAAAATAATTCGCAGCTACAATGATAAAAGAATTCCCTTTAGAAAAATGAGGGTAAGCTTTACAAATTAGATCAACGACCCATCCACGAAATGACCATGGTTTGACAATTAGGTGCAATTCTGATGTTGGAACTCTTTGCAAAGGCCCATGGATCTGACAAGCCTTGCAACCTTTAGCATAATTGATGGCCAAAAAAAACCATGTCTATAGATCAACCAGTGCATCTTAATCCTACCTTGATGTGTGCCACAAATCCCATTGTGCACATCTGACTTAATCTAGAAGTGCTCATTTGGACCAAGGCAACGTAAAAGAAGTTCATCTTGCCCTCTACGATAAAAACACATCTTCCAATAAAACGTAGTTCAAAGCCTGCATTCTTGTTCTTCTTGAGGCATAACTTCGATGCTTGAGATATTCTATGATGGGATGATGCCAATCTGTCTAGGTTATGTCGATTGAACAAGTAGATATTGCTATACTATGCTTGTGAATTGATGGTAAAACTCATTTCTCAATAGTTATAATTTTCCTTATCACACCTTTAGGTATTTTCAAACCTGAGACGATCTAGGCCATCTCATTTTCTTCTATATTCAAATCTTGAGCTACATGCCTCAAAATCACTTCATCAAATTCTTCTAAAAGTTGAACTACTAAAGTAAAATAAGGCACCAAACATAGACTAGTGCACTTATACTCTCCCTCTAATTGTTTTAGAACTAGTTGTGACTCTCCAATGATTTCTACCACAAGGTGTTGCTTCTACTTGAAATTTGCTTTAGATTTAAGCTTCATTAGAGGTGAAAAAGCCCTAGTCTTCCCTCCAAGGTTTGAGATGAAATATTTGAAGAAATTCAACTAGCTAAGGAATTTTTGCTACTCCTTCTTGGCGGTTGTGCTTCAATAACCGCTTTTGCTTTGCTCTAGTCAACCTCCAAACCTCACTCATGCATAAGATATCCCAGAAAATTTCCAGCATAAACACCAAATGCACACTTTAATGGATTCATCTTCTAACCATGCATCCTCATATTCTCACAAGCCATCTTTAAATGTATCAGGTGGTCTTAATCTTCATTAGATTTCACAACCAGATCATCAATATAAATCTCCATGAAATGACCAATCATATCATGAAAGATGGTTTTCATGGCTTTTTGGTATGTTGCCCCTATATTCTTTAAACCAAATGGCATCATCACCCATTCAAAGGTACCAATAGCTCTCAGGTAGTGAAAAATGATTTTTGGAATGTCCTCGTCAACAATAAAGATCTAGTTGTACCCACTATGGCCATCCAAAAATGACAGAATTCTGTAACGAGACGCACCATTTATCAACAGTTCTGCAATTGACATAAAGTACTTATCTTTTAGGGTTGCCAGATTTAGATTTCAAAAATCCACACAAATCCATAGCTTGCCATTCTTTTTTACCATTAGAACCACATTAGACAACCACTCCACATATCTAACAATTTTGATGAAACTAGTTTTAAGCAGCTGCTCAATTTCTTCTTTGATTTTTAGAGTGACTTTTGAGGACATTTGTCTAGATAGTTGCTTAAATGGTTTGAAGCTTCTTTGAAGGGTAATCTATGCTCCACAAGCTTTAGGTCTAAACCTAGCATTTCAAAATAATCCCAAGCAAAACAATCTTTATATTCACATAAGATGTTGATGTTCTTCTCACACAAGATGTTGATGATCTTTTCACACATACACCGCTCAAAGGAGCCATTAATGAACATGATCTTTAGTTCCTTCTCAGTACCCAAACTTACCTCCTCTAGCAGGTCTTACATTTTTGCTTTCAAATCACAAGTTTTGTTGAAGCCAGATCTAACTCCTTTAGAGTAACACCATCTGTTAGATCTTTCTCTTCACCTTTATGGACCACCTTAGATCTGTCTACACTAAGCTTTTCTACAAAATAGGCCACTAATTTCCTTTTAATTTCTTCCATGACCTTCTTCTTCTGGCAATTGATTCAGTGTCTCTTCATGGAATTTTTTCAATTTCTAGCTGCTTCCTCAACCTAAAAGGAACAATTGTTATAGGCCGAAAGAGTTCATCGTAGAGCTCTTTCATTATACGTCTAATGAGTGTTAATCTAGTATTAATAATGATTCTCATTGGTTTACCATTATGATCCATCCCAAAGAAACAAATAGTCCCAATTTCTTCATCATAATAATAAGCTTTCACTACATTAGTGTTAGCCACAAAATGTCTGTCATTTGCGGTCACAACCTTAGTTTTATTACCATTCCGGAATATCAATTTTTAGCATAAAGTTGATGTAGCACACCAACTAGAATGGATCCAATCTCTCCCAAGTAATGCATTATAAACGGCCACAATGTCAACTATAAAGCATGCACACATGAGAGTTGTGTTTCCCACAGTGAGCTTCATTGGCAGAATTCCCCTTCAGTGATTCACTCCACCTATGAAGTCATTGATTTTCACTTTTATCTGCATTACATCTCTTAGAGATTTGCTAATTTTGTGTAGGATGCAAGTTGGCAACACATTGATAGTAACGCCATTGCCTACCAAAACTCAATAAATTGGCATAACATCCATTTGTGCATAAATGTACAATGGCCTTTTATGTCTAGCCATCCTTTCTTCTAGCTTCTAAAAAATAATTTTGTCTGCTAAAATCTCATTTTCATTTTCCTTTATAGGATCTCAACAATTCCTTCCATAACTCAATCTGCCTGTTAACAATCTACAAATTTTGGTTTTTCTTTGGCTTGGAAGACCAAAGGAAAGGTAAGTATTAAACAAGATAAATTCATAGAGAACTCACCAACTTGGGTGGTTTCTTTCTTTAATGAATTTTCTATTTTTTCTGCTACCTTGAATGTTGCTTCTAGGCCAAATTTCTACTTGCCTCCACAATTAAAACTTGAAGTGAAGTTGGACTTTTGAGTTGTTTTTTCATCTTCTGGTAAAGTCTGATCTGGTGAGCCATTTTTGTCTTTTGGAACCCATACTAATTTCATTGTCACTAGGAATGACTGAGTTAGATCTACCATGCCCCCTAAGCCCTCAGGTTGCTGTCGACACCTCTCTATTGATTTCTTGCATTGTAGGCCCACTGCCTCAAAGTTGTGGGATTTTAAGCCTTAGGGAACTTTGGATGAACCATACGCTTCCACTATTTACTAGGAGATCTAAGTAGTGGTTTCACAATCCTTGGCTATTCTACACAACTAGATTTGATATCACTTTGATATGGACCAGTTTTCTATTGCTTTGGATCATCCCCATGTGCCTTCTTTTTCATGGAGGGTCTAATTTAGCCTTATTTTTATGAGTTCCAGACTTCTTAATGACTTATCTCAAGTCATTAGCTGCAAGTCCGTGCCTGGAGTATGTTCAATTTTTGTCCCTAATAAGGCTTCGGAGATCTATCACACTCACTCTAACAAACAAGTTAGGGAATAGATATGTATCAACTCCCATGGTTTCCTTAACCTCTTTTGAAACCGCAATATCACTTTGTCAATCTTCAATTGCAAATCATTCCAAAAAATAACACAAACATTAATACAATGTTTCCAAGAATTATGATACTAATAATATTCTCTACTTCCTATTTTGCTTGCCGTTGGGATTTTATGCTCTAACGATAACTTAATTAGACCACTCCTCCTAAGGTGGTAAAAAAGTTCACTAATCTTAGATAGATCAAATGTATATTGCTTTCCAGCCTTGCCGACATAACATTTCATTTTCTTATCGGTTTGTAGAGTAACTTTGGCTAGATCTAAGCAAACAATAGATTTGTCTGCCACAATTTCTACCACATCCAAATCAAAGTTGGCATCCTTATCATAAGTCTTATAGGATGCATATTTCTTCTGTAAATCTCCCTATAATAGATTTTCATAGTGGGCAACTTTGTAAGATAGCTCAAAGGAATCCCAAAAATCCATCCCTTCAAATTTCTTCCTCACCTCAATATCCAGTCCATTTTATGCCAACTTAACAAATTCTTGCTCTGGTAAAGCAACCCTACACTTGAGTTTAGCCTTACAAAATATGGCAAGGAAAAGCCTCAAACAATTCCCCAAGTCTTTGCATTAGACCAGACAGATCTGCCATAAGCACTTTTGGCTCTAAACGATATAACTGGACATGAAACAGATTTTCCATTTATCTTAAAAAATGAACTAAATTTTGTGGTAAAGTCAAATATCAAGTGAGAGTTGTGCTAGTCAAAGAACTTAGGAAAAGTCTAAGCTTCAAATTGTCATTACCAGAGGTCTCGCCACACTGAATATTGACGTGGCTTGTATGTTCAATCATAAAATAACCACCATCTCAAGAAAACAATGTGAATTCTAGAATCTTAAACAGCCTTGAAAAAGGATTCTCTTGATCTATGTAATTTGGACATGGTTTTTTGTAAGTTGGTTTGACCGTAGGCCTTCTGCACCATATCAATTATTTGATCACAGTTAGTGTACTGGCTTTACACCCTTGCAGATTTTATTGTGGGGGCATATAAGGATGGAAGTACTCCTTTTGTGGAGACGTATTAAGCTATTGGTGATCCCCATGTGGCATGTGCTAAGGAGGCATATAGTTAGGTTGTTGTTGATATCCTAAATCTACCACACATGGTGCAACTTCTACTAGTTTTGGTTGCACTAGCCCACTAACTACTTGCTCGTTCTATCGAGGAAGATATGGCTAATTGACTTACCCTCCAAGCACTGAAACTGGTGGATTCTGGATCTGCCTGTGAAGATCCGCTACTTAAGCTAGCAGTGGTACTTCTAGCCTAGGCTGGCACACCTATCCAACCACCTAATTTGAAATAGCCTACAATGTTCTGACGCTTAACCCCAGTTTCTTGCATTACTGTAGTGCCTTCTTCAAAAGCACACCTTATTTCAACCACATATTCCTACATCACCTCTAGTTGGTGTCTAAGATTCCATTTGGTTATCGATAAACCTTTGCACAATCTGGGTCTACTCTCGACATGCCAACTTCAAACATTCAGTCAAACTCTTGATAACATGGCTTGACTCAGCAAAGTCACCCATATGATTTGCATCTTTTTCCTTGAATATTGGATTTTCATAAGACCATTCTACAAGAGGTGATAGTGGGGCAAAAGTGATAGGATCATTTTCATCCATAAAGTGTCATGCTCCAAAACCAAGAGTGAAACAGATGCAGTACACTTGTGAGAGGATCCCACAAATGTAGAAGGCTCAGAACTTGCTAAATTTATAACTAACAGTCCACATAAACTTAGATCAATATTTCAAAATAAAATCTAGCTTACAAAGAATAATGGCAAAAGGTGCAGATCACCCCCTCAACTCAACAACTGGTGGCAAATCACCCTCTCAACTCACTTCACGGGCAAATCACCCCCTCAACTCCCCTTGCAGTGGCAAATCAGCCCCTCTGTTAAGGCTTCCGTTAACATTTAACATTTCATTCATAAGCCCTTCCTCTGTGTCTGACGTGGCCTTTTTGTTGTTGAGATGGATGCTGAGGTGGAGGCAGGTCTGGACAAATACCTCAAAATCAGCAAATCAAACAAAATTACTTTTATACCCTTAAATGGTTTAGCGAAATAAAATTGGGGATTTAGGGATCTGAGGTAATATTATTTCACTTGACAGTTTCTATCGCCTTCGTCTTCTTCCCCTCTTCGTTCTTTTAAGATCTGCAATTCATCGAGAATGGGGTTCTTTGTCAAGCTTTGAATCTTCAGTGAAATTATCATATTTTAAGGATTTAACTTCAATTCAACTAAAAAGGAGAGAGAGATCAACAGAATGAAGGAGCAACATTGCTAGCAGCTATTAAGGATTGAAACCCAAAAGAGTTTTAGTCGATCAGGGGACAGTGACTGCTTCAGTTTCAATCAGTTGGCAATTAAAAGTGCAGTTTTATTAACCAACCAAACTTGAACTTGCTTAACCTCTGAAAAATAACAGTAGAAAAGGTCCTTCAACCTTAAAGTAAATTACCTAGCGGTGAACCATACGGCAAACTGAACGTTCCAAATCTGAAAATACCTGCACTCAATTGACAATTATAAGTGCATTATAAAATGAAACTCCTTTCACAGAACTGAATGATTCCAATATCGTAGCTTTAGCCTAGGATAGAAAAGTTTGAAAGAGTAGGAAAGCTGGTACTTTCCATGCCATACAATCTATTTGAATCTAAAATGCAGGAAAATAGAGCTTCTCCAGGACCGTGCAGATTCACAACACCATTCCTAAATATATCCCTAGCTATAGCTTTTCAATTAAATATACCAAAAACAAAGGACCAAAAAATGATGCAGCTTCATACCTTAGCCAATGATACAATAAAGTGGAATGAGTACAATAAAGTTTAACAGTTGCAAAAATAATGCAACAAAATTGTATAATGGGTAGGACAGATGCTACACTGGTTGTGATGCAGCCAATGATACTTCTCCATGGGAATAGAGATAAAGATATGCTGTCATGCTAGCTGGGACAATAATGGTCATCCAAATGCTACGCTGCATATAAAAGATAGAAATGGATTAGAAATTTTACTACATTTGAGTGGATATTCTCATATTCACATACAAATCATCAAAAAAACAAAAAACAGAGTCCAAGACCTGAGGAAAATGGTAAAAAATAAAGTCAAATTTCCTACACAATAATTAGAAATAAAATTATTGACAAAGTTCAAGCTGCTGCTGCAGCTTCCAAAAAAAGTCCAATTGACAATAGGTGCATTTTGCATGAGTACCTTCCATATATCTTTGTGAGTAAGATGATTTTGATCAAGATAAAAAAATTTTGCATAATTAACACTGCCCTGTGAGAAAACCCATAAGCTCACTCCCCAGAGCTAAACCATCATTGTCTGCAATAACACAACTAACAAATAAGAGTCCATATGCATTTGGTATCAAAGAGTAATAAAAGCGCCCAAAGAGATAATTGTCTACTGACCACAAGAAGAAGGGGGTTATAGTATAAGAAGGCCTCATATAAGAACAAATCCTGTAAGTCTGCACCCATTCTCATGACTGAATCCCATCCAATCTATTCAAAAAAAGAATTACCAAATTTAAAATGACAAAGTGATCAAGAATACTGGAGAGTTAAAATGTGAGAAACAAAATTAAATTGACCTTGCAACAAATGAAGCCCCACAACAAAAACAATATAACCTGAAATACAATCAAATTGAAAAATTTTATTAAAAAAAGTTCATAAATTAAAGTTTATTCAGGGTGAGTATGAAAAATTTAAAGGCCAAGCTTACAATACAATAAGTATGTTACATGAGGACTAAGGACCAAACAGACACTAAAATATCAGACCTTAAACCTCCATAGCAAGATGGGAGAAGGCAATATAGCTGCACTCGGCAGTGGTAAACTTGCACCCTTCATTTCACCCAGCACCAACGGAAACACATAACCTTCTTGGACACTATTTGCAGGATCACTTGTACTTGAAAAAAAATTAAATTAAATTAAATGGATCATACAAGATGTAAAAGAAAATAGGAAAACATATATTAATGAAAAAAAAGAAGCAAAAACTTTTGATGGATGTCAGGATGGATAAATAACAATAGGAACTGTTCATGGGGGTGACCTAGTGCATTTGATTAAAGCATCAGTGGCAATGCTTCTTGTTTAAAAGTGGAACTTCCATTCCTAATTTTCAAGAATAATGCAGTTAAATTGATGCATGTTCTCAAATGCATGAGTTGTGGTCAACTTTCTACAAGTCTTGAACAAGTTCACACTTTTCAGAAGAATGGAATAGCAGTCTTAAATCATTATTTTATTCAGTTCCAATGCCACAGACTCAAAATATACATTGCATAAATACAGCAAAGTAAAGATGCAAACTAATCACGGTGAGTTGGTTACTATCACGAAAAGTTTAGTTCACATAGGTCCGAGACAATAGCTCTGTTGCCAAGCTTGCGAAGATGAGGACTATGAGATGCTCCAGGACTTTCAAACATGGGGAATTTCCTGAATAGTCTAACTAGTATTGGTCACATCCTGCAAACATAAATTAGAAAACTCATCAAAAGACAGCAGAAAGCATCAATTCTCAAAGCAACGAATTGAATTCTTCTAAATTCAAATTAAAATTTACAGCAACAGATAGATGTAACAAATAATAACATAAGGCAGAATTGGTATGATCCGCGATTTTGCAATCTCCTATAATAATCATCTATAAAGACATTTCAAGAGCATTTCTATGCCATACATGAAAATTTTACTACAAACAAATCGCACATTAGGAAATGAATATCAGAGAAAAACGAATTGACTTTAGAAACAAAATATTTAACCATTTACAGAAAGAATCGCAACAACTTTGTTATCAGTAATCAAAAGATCCGTAAAAACTGAATAGAATACAGAGAGATGATGGCAAAACCGTGCGATTGAATGCGAGAAGGTGAGTTCAGATCGGGAAAAAGAGAATTGAAGAGAAAGGAAATTTGCGGCGGATTACCAGCCAGAGAAAACAACGAGGGCTGAGCATCTGCTGAAGTTTCTTCGTCTGAGTTTGGCAGATCTTTGGAGGTTTTAACGGGAAGAGAGAAGAAAGCGATGCTTGCATTCCGATGCTGATTTTGAGGTATTTGTCCAGGTGTGCCTCCACCTCAGCAAAAAAAGGCCACGTCAGACACAGAGGAAGGGCTTGTGAGTGGACTGTTAAATGTTAACGGAAGCCTTAACAGAGGGGCTGATTTGCCACTGCAGGTGAGTTGAGGGGGTGATTTGCGCGTGAAATGAGCTGAGGGGGTGATTTGCCACCAGTTGTTGAGTTGAGGGGGTGATATGCACCTTTTGCCAAGAATAATCTACAACTCAACTCTACATCCAAAATACAATGGCTAGCCTTCTAGCTTGTCACTCCCCTTGGTTTCCCATGTTTCGAGTCACACTACCTGAAATGTTGGATAGGGAAAAACTATGTGAGATAACTTAATAAGTAAAAATATGGATAACCCTCAATTAAGATTTGTAGCATTCCAAAGTGTAATCAAGTATCAAGAAAAACAGGAACAAGTATGGGAATGAAATAGATGTCTCCTCTATAGGTCATGGCCAGCGTTTATAAAACTCCCATTGGCGAGCACAATAGTAACCAATGTATTATCCCACTGGTAGGAATACAAGATAAACCAGTTCCCAGGAATATATGTTGACATGTGCTAGCGTTTATAAACCTCCCACTAGCAGGCATAGTAAAACATGACCATATTGGAGACAAAACTAGGCAGGAGTTAACAGGAAAACCATAATTTACAAATAATATCCAGATCATCAGGACAATCAAATAAAATCCCAGTAGGCATGCTCAACTCAATAAACATATTAACAACTTTATTTGAAATCAATTATGCTCATATGCTAACGAAAATCAGTTTAAATCTTGCCACCATCTCAAAAACAGTTTGAAATATGCTTTTAAAGCTTTTACCTTAAAATCCAAGGGCCTTACCACAAATTTACTTACCTCGCCTTGTAGGTATACAACAAGCAAGGAATTCAATAAGTCACGGTGCTTGAGGTGATTTAGAACTTAAACCAGATCAAAGAACAAACAAGATTACAAAATATCCCATTTAACTAAATTAATTTCTAATTCCAATATCAAGTTTCTTAACCAAAAAAACAACTTCTCCCTACACATCTCAATCACCTCTACCCTTTTAAAATAGCTCCAAAAGACCCTACATTTGGTGGTTTTACAAGGCAGATTTACAGGACAAAAAAAAGTGGAAAAATATGAGAAACCAAGCTCACATCTACCCTAAAATAGTAGCACAAAAGCTGGGCAATAAGGTGGGGATTTTTTGCTATTTAAAACAATCCCAAAATGCTTGGAAAAAGCCCTAAACAACAAAAATTTTCTGGGCAAAACAGCAAGGATTTATGGGCAAACATCAGTAGCAAAACAACGTTGAAACAAGCCAAAATGGGGCAACATTCAAGCAAAAAAATGTAGCAGCAAAAAGGCAACCAAAACAAAGAAATAACAAGGGTTTTAGAGCATGAAAACAACAGCTAAAATCTGGTAAAATCATGATGTATTATGGCAGTAGATAAGGTGGGAATAAAACAAGAAAGAAAGCAATTTCTGTTAAGTTCTGGTCATATTTCGTGCTAGAATTTCCAACAGAATTCATGCCCAGAAATTGACTGATATGGGTTGAGTGGTCATTAGATAAATTGTATGTCTTAACATTCTATAACCTCAAGAATTACCTTAATCCGACATCTACATAGGAAGTTATGGTCAAAATAGTGACAATAGGTCGGGTTGCCAATTCAATCCGCCTGTAGGATTTGAAATTGCAGCAGGGCTTTCATCTTGAAAACAGCTGATTTGGGTTAAATGTCCAACATAAAAATTGTAGAGTTATCTCTTAGCTTTCCATAGAATCAAGAATGAACTCAAAACAATGTCTACAAAAATAGTTATGGGTAAATTACTAGAGAAGAGTCATGCAGTCCAAATTTCTGGCAAGTAAAGGAAATCAGTTTCTGGTGGTATTTATCATGGACAAAATCAAGGGGAAAGCTACAGAAAATTCCTAAAAATAAAAACCCTAAAGGATTAGGATTAACCTTCTTCAAATCATAGTGGAAAAGATGAGTAATATAGTTGATTTCTTACCAAAAAGTGTTGAAAATGGTAATGGACAACAATCCAAAATAGATCAGCAGATTGGAGGGTGCAGCAAACCAAATCTAAAATATTGTTCATGGTTTTGAGAATTATAAACCTATTATTCTCTATATCTTGCTAGGAGAAGGAAGAAAAACTAAGTTCCTTACCTTTTTCTCATGGTGAGGAAGGTGTTTGGCAGTGTAGGGCTTTGGGGCTGTAGCGCTTCGAAGAGGAGTTGAAAGCACGTAGAAGGCTAGGAAGAAAAGAAAAAGATTCAGCCTTAACCCTTTTATCAACAATTTTCTCTTTTAACGCCCCCTTAAGTTTGGAAATTTTAGCTATTAAATCCAACAAAAATAATTTCTACCATATAAATCCAAACATAAATTTTAAGGTCTTAGAAAATTTTGGGATATTACAGTGGAGTGGGCTATCATTTGCATGTTCAACCTGTGGTGATTAAGCTTTCTTATCCCTTTTCTTAATTTTAGGTGGCATAGTTAATGCCTCTTTTTAGATACAAAAAAAGTGGATCTAAAAATTGCGGATGAGACATGGTGAAGTCCCATTGGACATGTCAAAAAAGGATTGTTTCCTCAAAAAAGGATTGTTTCCTCAAAAATTCTTGAGTGACTTCACATAGGACAAATCTAGATGCAGGTATGCCACTTATTTTTTTGATAAGAAAAAAGGATTTTCCCAACAACCCTTTTCTTTCATGCAATCAACCTCCATTACAATGGTTGGAAGAAGATTGGTTTAACATTGAGTTCTACATCTCTAAACAATTTGCAGAAGGGAGAGATGCCTTCCTAGAGAATAGGTTACTAATCTACCTTAAACAGATTTGTAGATCAAACTACCACAAAATTGGAAATCTAAAATTAATTAACTATAAAACATGTACGAATAATGATTAAACTAACATGGAAAATAAAACATGAAAGAAACGTGAATGCCATAAAAGTAATCATTTTAAGAAAAACACTACTTACCATAAACTTGAAATAAACAATGATAAAAAAAGAGACAGCACCTTACAAAAATTAAAATACTTGTTGTCCATTACATGAGATATAGTTGTAGAAGCAAATATATGAAATAATTTAGCTATTTGAATACTTAAAACAACCTAGAATCTACAAAGTACTATGCTGAAGATGAAATCTAAAAGCTAAAATGGCAATTGCTATGAAACTAAAGAGTTGAAAATTTTGACAAGTTCTATGTAGGATTGGCCATATGTTGAATAATTTGAAACTTTCTTTTTATATGCTTTTTGCAAACTGATCTTTCACCTCACTTACTAGCTGGTACAAAATATAGATAGTTTATTGGGGAAAATTGACACATCAACAAGATTAGGTCAAGGCTACATTTGATCTTGCCACCTGAACCATTCAACTACTACCTTAACCCCTCAATTGCACTTCCTCCTAGATTATAAGAATTTCTTTTTCTTTTCAATTTAAACTACAACTAACCAGATAACCATCACCATTCCCCAAAATCAATTTTTACGTAGTAAGTGATTTGAATCTCAACCAATAAATCTGATGTGATGTTACCTTATTCATTAACACATGACATCACTTAAAAATTATGATTTATAATGAAAACAATATGACACCCCAATAGACATGCATCACATCTAACATGCTTTCCCACGACCATTATTGCATGGCACATGGACATTACCTTTTTGGGTCTATAAATAACACTAGGCATTAAATCATATATTCATTACTCTATTCTCTTTTATATTACTTTAGGTAGCCAAGTTGGATATTGTTTCCTCAAAAATCCTTAACTAGCCCCAACCGTGTGTGTTTAAGAATAAGGTGTGCCACTTGCTTTGTTTAAAAACAAGAAAACAGGATTTTCCAAATGACCTTTTTCCTTTCCAACGATCGCCCTCCAAAATGATGGCTAGAAAGAACATCTGTGAACTAAACTGTGCTCTGGACAACATTGCAAAACAAAGGGTGGAGTTCTACAAGATGGGTTACTGATTGCCTTGGTCACCTCCAAGGACTTCAAAACCACTAAAGTGTAACAAAAGCTACAAATCCTAAATTAAACACAATATCCTAAGGCAAATTATCTTAATATGAAATCAATAAAAGAAAATAACAAACAATAGAAATAAATTCGTAGACAACAGATTGTGCAAAATTGTAGACAATGATTTTAACTACGCAATCCATAACAATTAAACTAGTTACTTGTAGATTTAAAATAAAAATAATTGAACTACTTGATCACTAAAACTAAAGGAGAATCTACAAATTGATCAAGTCTGAAAACTTGTCAAATTAAATCTTAATCTAGAAATTGAAATTAAACAAGCTATAAGTCTGGTAGCTGTGCAGAAACAAAGAAAAGAAGGCAGAAAGCATTCAACCTATTTACAAAAACAAATGATAGAGATGAATCCATAAGAGAAAGAAAAACTAACCAAATCAACAGTGCAAACCCATTTTCAAGGCTAAATTGGTTTCAAATCCTTAAAAACTAACCAAAGTTGCAATCTTTGAAGGAAAATCTAACAAGGACAAAAAACCTAAACTAACTCTAAGAACAAGAGTAGATCATGCACTTAAACCTGGAAGAAGAAGTCTGAAAATTAAAGATGCAAATGCGTTAGGTGGCTTTTCTATAGGGTAGGCCATGTAAAACTGATTTTTTCCCCTATTTTCCTTTTCTTCGATGCACTTCCTCCATGATTCTTGATCCTCTCCCACCATAAATGAAGGGTGGGTGCTCAACATCTGAGGTAGTTTCCTTTTGTCTGGCAACTGATAATTTTAATCCCATTTTAATTCTAATAAAACCTTAACAACAACCTTCTCCTAAAAACCCTCAACTGCCTAATTTAAATTAGACTCAACTACTAAGTAGATCACCTTATCATTTGCCACATAAGTTCAACCCATCATGAATTTTATCTAGGCTGTAAATTTTCAAGCTAGCCCAAACCAACCTATCCTGCTGACTTTCCTGACATGGATCTAATATCTAATCTATATTGATAAATTAAGCCAGTTGATTCTGCAACCACGCTGAGGTGGTTGGGCTAGTGGAACTTGTGGCTGGAAATAATCCCTTAGATGTGGTTGATGATGTGGATCCCTATATCCCTTCTTGGGTGGTGGTATGTACCTATGCTAAAGTTGATGGCCATGGTTTGTAACATGAACAACAGCCTCCATCGATTCACGTTATCTTTGCCATTCACCCAAGAAAAAATTTTGCTGCTAAACATTGCGATGAAACTAATTTCCTTGCCCCTCGAGTGTTGGGATTGGGGCTTCCTGAATCTATTTGGGCATGTTCACAGTTGGAAAAGGAACTTCAAGTCAGGGCTATTGCACTTGCTCAACTAGTTGTTCTGAAACAGCCTATAATATTTTGCGACTTTCATCCCTAGTTTCTCGCATCACCCTAGTGCCTTTTTCCAAAACACATCTCATTTCTACCATATACCACCTTATCACTTTTGCATGATGTCTAGAAGACTCCACGTGACTCTTAAGGAGTTTTTGCATAGTTTGGGTTTGCTCCCTACATGCTAACTCTAGATGTTTAGTCAAACTTCTAATTACATTACTTGACTCTGCAAAATCATCTTTGTGGTCTTTCCCCTTTCTTTGAAAATTGGACACCCTTTTCTTTGAAAATTGGACGCCATAAGATCGCTCCACAAAAGGTGACAACAAGGGAGGGACAATTGGGTCATTCTCACCCTCCAAATGGACTAGATTGTTTTCCGCATGCTTGACCTGAACTGGCTGAACCTCTTTGTCTCAGTTCTTTTTTGGTGGCATGGCTCCAGACACCTTTAGGTATATAAACAGAGGATTTGTGAACCTTAACTGATACACCCTGCTAGTGGTCCCACTAGGCATGCCAACACAACATTATTACCTTAAAAATCCTTAACTAGCCTTAACCACATATGTTTGAGAATAAAGCATGCCACTTCCTTTGTTTAAAAACAAGAAAATAGGATTTTCTAGACGACCCTTCTCCTTTCCAATGGTCAACTTCCAAAAGGATGGTTGGAAAGAACGTCTACAAACTAAATTGTGCCTTAGACAACATTGCAAAATAAATGGTGGAGTTCTACAAAATGGGTTACTAATTTCCTTAAACACCTCCAAGGACTTCAAAACCACAAACGTGTAACAAAAGCTACCAATGCTACAAATGCTAAATTAAATGCAATATCCCAAGGCAAATTATCCTAATACAAAATCAATAAAAGAAAACAACAAGCCGCAGAAATCAATTCGCAGACAACAAATTGTGCAAAATCGTAGACAATGATTTTAATTACATAATCCATAATGATTAAACTAATTACTTGTAGATTTAAAATAAAAATAATTGAACTACTTGATTGCTAAAACTAAAGGAGAATCTATGAATTGATCAAAGTTTGGAAACTTGTAAAATTAAATCTTAATCTAGAAATTGAAATTAAACAAGCTATAAGTTTGGCAGCTGTGCAAAAACGAAGAAAAGAAGGCAAAAAGCATTCAACCTATTTACATAAACAAATAATAGAGATGAATCAATATGAGAAAGAAAAACTAACCAAATCAATAGGGCAAACCCATTTTCAAGGCTGAATTGCTTCCAAATCCTTAAAAACTAACCAAAGTTGCAATCTTCGAAGGAAAATCTGAACAAGGACAAAAAAACCTAAACTAAATCTAAGAATAAGAGCAGATCTTGCACTCAAATATGGAAATCATGTTGAAATCTGGAAGAAAAGGTCTGAAAATTGAAGATGCAAACATGCTAGGCATGCCATGTAAAACTAATTCCTCCTCCCCCCCCTTCCCCCTATTTCCTTTTCTACGATGCTAGGATCCTTCCTTAATGATTCTTGGCCCTCTCCCACTATAAACAAATAATGGGTGCTCCATGTCCTAGGCAGCTTCCTTTTGTTTGGTAACTGACAATTTTAATCCAATTTTAATTCTAATAAAGCCCTAATAATAATCTTTTCTTAAAAACCCTCAACTTCCTAATTTAAATCAGACTCAACTAGTAAGTAAATGACCTTATCATGTGCCACGTAAATTCAACCCACCATGAATTCTGTTTGGGTTGTAAATTTTCAAACTGGCCCAAACCAACCCATCCTGCTGACTTTCCTTGCATGGATCTAGTAGCTGGGCCCTAACTTAACACATGACCTCATCCCATTAGTTTTACTTTATGTGTGAACAGATATTACTAACTTAAAAGTATCAAGGTGTCTACCCCTAAATCTACCCTCGGATTTTCAAGTCAATCTTTTTTAGATTACCTAAAGTTCAACATGCAAATATTCATGCGTCTATAAGAGGGATGGTTATGAATCTAAAAGCAAAGTACAAGGACCACAATTTGCTTTAATCCTCTTCTTTTGCTATTTATGACTTATAAGGACAATCCTATCTTGTATTTTTTCTTTTGGCATTTACGGTCCTTGTACTTCTTTTTGTATTTACAACTAAGATGTTCCCATTATCAATTTTTACATATCTTAAAATTAATCCATCTCTATATGATCTTAAAAGTGCATCTCTTACATTAGTTTAGTCCATTTAAGAAAATTAATTTTCTTGACTATTAAACCCAAAACTTAAATTCAAAACCTAATCTAACAAACTATACTTACCAGTAGCACATCCAAGTCCAACTCCTAGGGCAATGTTTTAAAAACTGACCTGGAGGTTAAATTGTTTTGACCTTCAGTTCTCAGTTTAGTCAATTTAAACGATTCAATTATTCAAACTGCCTAGTCAATTCAAATGAATAAATATAATATTGTGTAGTGCTTAGACATAACAGGTACAATGGTTCTACTAGTTTGTGACCTTGCCCATTGTGGAAGAAACACAAGTTCGAGCATACACATGTTAAAATGTAATTATAGTATTTTTAATTTTTTAATGAGTTTTTTCACATGTAAAATGTATAATATATGTAATTTTTTAATTAATTTATTAAAAAATATAAAGATTGATTTTAAATTAATTAATTAATCAATTACAATCATCTATGTAAATATCAATTTTTATAAATTTTTCTATAAATTAATTATAAATACATGTAAAAATTTATATTATTACATTTCTAATTTATAATATATTAATACGATATTTTTAATTAATAAAAAAAATACATATCAATTCTAATTCTTTAAAAAATTGAAATCTTAATCTTAAACTATATTATTTTATTTTATTAAAATTTAATTTAAAATTTAAAAATATATTCTATTAAATATTGAGATCTAGATTTAGAAACTTAATGAATTTTTAAATTTTAAATTAACATTTCAGTTTCTAAATATAAATTGAAATTTTAATTCTTTTAGAAATGGGATTAATACGTATTATTCTCTTAATTAATTAATATAAAAAATTATAAAAATTGACTTTAAATTAATTAATTAATCAATTAAAATCATTTTACGT